GTACCCCAAGCTTTGATGAACCGCAGGGTATGTACTCTTATGTCTTAAGGATTGGTATTTATGAGTTTTTAATTTTTTTCTTCACTAAAAAAATATTGGCTTAAATAAAAGCAAAACTGGACATGCTTATTAGCAATTTTATACTTATCTATTAATAAATTTTTAGATAGCATTAATATTTTTCCTATGCACAAAAAAAAAAAAATCCAGGGCAGTAGACACTCATGTACTCAAGCCAGAAAGTTTGAAGGGAGGAAAAGATTTGATCTAATTTAGCAGTCTCCCTTGGAGGGGAAAAAATGATCCTTTTCCTGATAGGCTCTTGGTTGGACGTTTTGGTATATAAAACAAATGCCCAGTTCATCCACTCCACAACCTCCCAATATCACCCCGTCCATCCGCATACCTTTTACAACGAACCTCAAGAGAATTCTATTACCACATCTCCATCAATGCTCCATATGGATACGAGTAAAATTTTATTTAGTTCTCCGTCATTTTACTTTCTTTATTTAGTTCACATCCATGTTACGTTGTTCAGTCCCACAATATTGGAAGAGCTGTTGCACCTTTTCAGAAGTGCAGGAATAATCATTCTAGAGAAAGTTATGTTAATTATCACATTGCCAAAGCAAACTATTTTATAATAAAATGGACAGCGTTGAACAATCAGGAGAACCTCCAAGAAAAGTAAGAAATAAGCAATGAGGGTTCAAAATGGCTTTCTTACTGCTTCTTAGGCTTCATTTGGAACGGCTTTCTTCCTGCTTCTAAAGCAGTTTTTTAATAAAAAGTTAAAATTTTTATACTAAAAAACTGTTTCAAGAAGCATCAAAAAAACAGTCCCAAACAAAGCCTTAAAGCAGCTTTCTAGTATATAAATTAAATTTTTTGTATTAGAAAGATGCTTTAAGAAGCAGTAAGAAAGTTGTCACAAACGAAACTGAAATCTTATGTTTGTATAAAACTATACATACTCCCACGAGAACAAAATATTTATTTAAAAAATAAATTTAATTCTATGTTCTCACAAACTATATATATGCATGCATTCATTTGTGTGCTAATGAGTCGCCGGTTAGCGGGGGCCATCGGAAATCCTGTTTTTTAACGTCTGAATCTTGAATGCTTTGCAGTTGATATCTCTTGATATGGGTGCTCTAATAGCTGGAGCAAAGTTCCGAGGTGAATTTGAAGATAGACTAAAAGCTGTCCTGAAGGAAGTAACGGACTCAGATGGACAAATAATCCTCTTCATTGATGAGATCCATACTGTTGTCGGGGCAGGTACTTTAAACGGCTTGCTAACTTAAATTTCAAAACCTGTGAAGTATTTCATGCTTAGTACTTCCATGAACATTGAAGCTCGGTTTAACCGGTTGACTTGCTAACCTTCCATTGCCAAATTCTTAAAATGGATCTCTTATAATCGTTTTAAAAATTTCTGTACTTAAATTAATGGGAAGTGCTGTCTTTTAGGGACTTGTACACATTTAGGGGCTGTTTGGTAGCAGGATTTAGACCGGATTTGAGGCGGGTTTGAGCAAAATCAAGCCAAACATCTCACGGTAAATCAAAGCTGCGGTTGACAGAAAATTCCTCCTTTTCGTGGTAAATCCTGGATTTCTGAAATCCTCTAGTTTGACGGATTTAAACAAAAGCCGCTCTGTTTGCCTCATCTCCTCACTCTCGCCTCTTCATAATAGCCAAACAGTCACATGGGATTTAATGAGATTTATCATGAATATTCCTAACAGTTTTGAGGATTTATCCTGGATGCTACCAAACAGCTCCGTAGTTGGGAAAAAATGTGTTAGTGAAAGTATTTGGTATCTTAAGGATTATATCATTACTGTCTTCTCCCCAAATTTTTACCATTTTGATTTGCATTTACATCTTATTTCCAGGTGCCACAAATGGTGCCATGGATGCTGGCAACCTATTGAAGCCAATGCTAGGCCGTGGTGAGTTGCGTTGTATTGGAGCAACAACCCTAGATGAATACCGTAAATATATTGAGAAAGACCCAGCATTGGAACGTCGCTTCCAACAAGTGTATGTTGATCAACCTACCGTTGAAGATACGATCTCTATACTCCGTGGGCTGCGGGAAAGGTATGAACTCCACCATGGAGTACGCATCAATGATAATGCGCTGGTGGATGCTGCAGTTCTTTCTGATCGTTATATCAGTGGCCGGTTCTTGCCTGATAAAGGTAAAACATCACTAAAGTTTTTATGTTGTCTTTCCTATTTCAAACAGGATATTGATAGGAAACACTAGTAGATCTCAAGTATTTCCTATCAATCTTCAAAAAATAGCGAGAATTCTTCAAAAAATCCGCACAAAATCACGAAAACAGTAGATAGTTCGTATTATTTGATGAAAGGGAAATGGAAAATAGCAAGATACAATTGATCCTCTATTCGAGAGGAGGATCGATCTCTTCCAAATCTCTAGACGCCGCTAGAGCCCAAAAGAAAACTTAAATCCAAGAGATCTCAAATTTCAGCCAAATTTAAGTTGCCCTAACTGATGTAGAACGGGTAGGAGGCTTTCAGTCCTATGGGTCTTGAAGAGCAACTCGTGAGGTTTAAACAACAGCTTTTGACACTTGGGAAATTCTGGACAGCAAGTAGCCAATCTAGGATAGCGATTCCGGACAGTTCCGGGCAGCAACGGTCGTTCCCAGAGGGGCTGTACAGCAGCAAACTGCTGCGGGAATCTCTGGACAGCAGATTTGACATCAGGGACAGCAGTTTTGTCTTGTAGAAAACTTGAGACAACCACTTGGAGGACTTGGGAAGGTCCTGGACAGCAGTTGGGAGGCCTTCTTGGACCCCTTCTTGCTGGTTTTGGCTTTCCTGGACTGGTGACAGCAGCCTATGGTTCTCCACACAACTAGACAGCAGCTAGGAAGGTTGGACAATCTTTCCAACATGATTGGCTGCACTTGTGGAGAATTTTCAAAAGCCCAGCAATAGGGAGAAAGGAGCCGGCGGGATAAGGAGGTGGAATTGTTTCCTAATTCTAATGCCAGATTTTAAGGAAGTACTCAATGCTTGGTCCCATTAAAAAAAAAGAAATTCGGCTGTTATAGTTTTGGAAATATGTCTAAAGAGAAAAAAGGGGGGAAGGTGATTAGGAAAGATTTCCTAATCTAAGCCACAGGGAAGTGGGCCGGCTGCACTAATGGACCAAGGAGCAATTAATGTGATGGATTAAGGCCACAAGATTTGGAATTTGGAATTAGGAAAGTGAGGTAATAAATCCAATTTGAATTTGAAATTCAAATTGATTTAAATTACATACTTTCCTAAAATAGGCGAATTAAATTAGGAAATAAATTTTGAATTTCAAATTTATATAATTTGAATTTTAAATTATGTCCTAATATCATGCACCCCAAATTAGGAAATCCAAGGAGAGAGGAGAAAGGATGAGGCCGGCGGCAAGGGAGCTAGGTCTAATTTAATTTGGAGGGATTAATGACTCATGTCCTTGCAATTCAAATTTGAATTTTGAATTGGAGAGTTAAAACCTTTCAAATATGGATCAAACCCAATTTGGAAAGATTTCAAATTTCTTGAAATCCAAAATTATCATGGATTTTCCCTCTCCATTTTGCCAACCCAAATTGGAAGGAGGCCTGGCCATGGGAAGAGGAGGGGGTGAGGTAGCCGGCAGCTAGGGGTGAGAGAGGGATGGAATCCGGCGGCCAAACGAAGATGGGGAGGAGGAAGAATATGAGTATGATTATGAGGAGCAATAAGAAGGAACAAGATAAAAACAAAAGAAAGAAGATGTTGACCTCCGGATCAAAGCTAAAAGAAAACAAAAAAAAAATGTATAATAGAACATACCTTATCCAAGGGATCCACGAATTCAGCCAGAAATCCCGTGGAAATCACTGTACAC